CCGCCACCTCGAGAACCTCCTCCTCGCCCCCGATGGCCACTTCTTCCACGCCGACTTCGGCTTTATCCTCGGCCGAGATCCCAAGCCGTTCGCACCCATGATGAAACTCTGCAAGGAAATGGTCGAGGGCATGGGCGGGACTACTTCTCCCTTGTATCTCCAGTTCAAGCAGTATTGCTTCACAGCGTATACCACGCTGCGCAAATCGGCGAACCTCATCCTTAACCTGTTCAGTCTGATGGTCGATGCGAATATCCCTGATATTCGGGTCGAGCCCGATAAGGCTGTGTTGAAGGTGAAGGAGAGGTTCCATCTGGAAATGTCGGAGGAAGAGGCTATTCGACATTTCGAGCAGCTTATTAGTGATAGTGTTAATGCTATCTTTGGTGTTGTGATTGATCGGTTGCATGAGTTTGTGCAGGGGTGGAGGGCTTAGGTGGCTGGCATTTGTAGTGGATTCCTAGCTCATTCTGCTGTTTCGTTGAAGGAGGGGAGGAGTTTATGGCGTATACCACCGATTAAATGGTTCACTGATGAATTGATTGATACCCTGCCTTTGAAGCGGTGGCCATGTCTATAATAATGATAATATATTGATAGATCTATAGACATTTTTCGTCCCTCATTGTATCTGTACTTTTATGACCAGCTATCCATCTCATCGCAACCCTCCTCTATACCACAGTGTCTTGATCACTTCTCCCCATGATGTCGTGACGGACCTCCCGCCTCCTCATCATTACGACCCCAAACCCCCAACTCAACCCACTCATTCCCCGTTCCACAATCCCCACGTCTATCTCCAAGATCACCTCCCCCCAAGTCAACTCCCTGGGTTATCCGCATATCCTCAGTCACGGCAGTATCAGAACCAGATTGATCATGGGAAACAAAAACCCCTCCCGTCTGTTCAAGTTCACTGCGCAATTTCGCCTCGGCGTCTTCGTCATCCTCTGGTGTCCCCTCTTTACATGCCCATGCATCTACGAACCTCAGGACCTCGCGGGCCCACCAGCGCTTCATGACGAGAAGACGGAAGGGGACTAGTAGGACGATGAGCACGGGGAATGCGGGTGCGCCACGGGTGAGGGTGAGGATGAAGATGGCTACGGTTATGACGATTTGGAGGATGGTGTAAAGGTGAATGGGGATGTATGATGGTGTTAGGGGTTCTTCTTCGGAGGTGGTTGGTTGTTGTTGCTGTTGTTGTGGGGCAAGAGATGGTGGGAGGGGAGGGAGCTCGGAGGGTGGTGTGAGGAGGTAGAAGGTTCGGTAGAGGATTGGGCTGGTGTTGTTAGTGGGATTGATTCTTTTAGTGTGGTACGGATGGTGGACGGCTTACTTGACTGATAGGCTCTGCTCGCCCATGAACATGAATAGCCCTGCTAGGACGCTTGTTGGGGTCAATCCGAGCACTTTCATGAAGGGCGGGCTGATGAAGAGGAGGATGACGGCTGAGTGGAGGAAGGCTGACCAGCGCTGTTCGTAGACGCGCTTTACTTCGTATGTTTCGGTCTTCTCTTCTCCGTCGACGGTGATTGTGCGTTGCTCCTTCTCTGTGTGCATTAGAGACTCGGAGTGGAGAGGGGCTTGGGGGAGAAGTCCGTTGGCAGGAGGGATTCCTAGAATGCCGCATAGTGCTGTTGTAGTGCCGAGGAGGACGATGTCCCAAGCAAAGCCTCCTGGTTTCCTGGTGCCGTAGCGATCAATGGTGCAGATGATTGAGCTAACTTCGTGATCGAAGAAAAAGAGCACGGTGATGATTATTCCGGGAAGGATAGCGGCGAACACCCAGGATACAGGGAGATGCCAGAACTCGACGAGGAATCTATCCCGACTGGGAGATGTGGGTTTGAATGAGGTGCTGACAGGAAGTGTCATCTTGTCCAGATGAGCTAGTTCTCCAACGTGGGGAAGCCCGATGAAGATGATGATGGAAATCGCAGCAGCGTACTCGGTTAAACCCATTCGGATGTATCGATGGAACAGGGGGCGCCAGCTCTCAGCCGTGGATAGAAATATTGCGAGCAGCATCGTTCCAACAGCTCCTATGATAGCGTAGAGGAACGCTGCAAAGGATAGGCTTTCGTGTGCTCTTTCAAGCTCTTGTATAGCTTTATGGAAGTAGATAATGCTGTTGAGAAGCGAGAATATCTCAGTTGCAAAAGTGGTAACGTAGCGCATCGTCCAATCGTGAGCGTTGACTATAGCCAGGACGTAGTGGAGCCAGGCAGAATGGATCAGAGACCAGGCCATGAATGGCAAGAATGGTATCTGGGGATTACTTGTAAGTCATTACTGGCACAACTTTCTTTTCAGGATCTCACCTTGAAGACATCCTCGCATAACGAATAGATGTTCTCAGCAAGGACTGAAAAAGGACCAGTAACACCAAGGATAGTTAGCGGTTGGATTGAGAATCTGTGTGATGTTGTCAGTCTATGTTGCTGGAACTTCGATGTGGACAAGCCCTACAGTGAAAAGATGATGCCGCAAAGACCTGTACTGAATACGACCTCGATAGTCCCCCAATTCTGCCCAGTGAGAACATAAAGGTCACTAGCAAAGGTGATACCGGGCAAAAGGTTCGTAAAGAAGACGTAGACCGCACTGGCAAAGATCAATTGATTGAAGACAGTCCAGTCGGATACATATCTGCGACGCAAGTTCAGTATGTCCTGCTTTATCAGACGGAATGGCCGTAGTGGGCCCCCTGAGGACACAGAACCCCGTAGTACCCGAATTGCCCTGGGCGTATGCTTGGATGGAGTGATGATGGAATGTGCATCTTCATCTTCTTCATCGTCGTCGCGATCAACTTCCTGATTTTGTTGGACATCGCCACGTCTCGGGGACCTCCTGTGCCTACGGGGTCTACGCCGGAGAGAGGAGCTCCGCGTGGAGGGTGGTCGGAAGGCAGATATCAAGGGCATTGTTCAGTCATGGTAAAGAATAGCCTGGCAATGGTGATCTGGAGGGGTTGAAAGTTGGTCTGGCGGGGAACCAGCGATGCCCGCCTTGGCCCTCATGACGTATCATATCCCGATAAGAGGCTCACGGCATACTCTCCGAACCGCACGGGTGAAAACCGCCCAAGAGCAGGCTAATTGATCATCTCAACTGGAATATTCAGTGTACCGCGATTATCGGAAGTAAATATCGAAGCATGGAAAGTGATAAATATGAATTCACTACTTGGACTAGGAGCCACTGTAAAGTAAGTGGATTCCAATCTTGTGGTGCTGTGACGTAGCCAAGACCTCCTCATTCAACAGCACATTAGAGACTCAATACCAGAAATATAATGGTACGTTTTCGTATCAACAAGTAATGTCTACAGGCGTTTCTTTCCGCACTCTGCTGGTGGTTATTAGGAGGCATGTAGATAGGGAATGTAGATAGACAGAGGCCGCAGTCCATCGGTACATAAAAACGATCCGCCTTCTTCACCGCCTTTATCAGCCGACAGAATCTCTCCCGCGGAGGAATTTCCTCGCCTCCGATTCCAATGGCCATGCCCCCCATACGGCAACAACCTCGCTCAGCTCCTTGATGATGCCAGCTGGATAGGAGATCAAGTCGCTAAAGACACCTCAAACACACAACAACTTTATGGACCGATGACAATGGCAGCCAAGTTCATTCCGCGTCAGGTTTTCCCCAACTATGGGTCCATCCCGAGGTCCTATTTCCTGGGTCACCATAGGGCCGGGTTAAAGAAGATGCAGAACATGCTCTCTTCTATCGATTATGTAGTCGAGTGTCGCGATTACAGGGTTCCCGTTACCTCTATCAACCCTATGTTTGAAGAAGCACTGGGAAAGACACGACGATTGACCGTCTATACAAAGCGTGATCTGGGTGCTGCATCGGGATCGAATGCGCAGAAATTGGTGAGTGGAATGCTCCGAGTCGAAGGAAGATGCCATAGGCACTCGAGTGCTAATGTGATCTTTGCACGCTTAGGCGGAGAAAACCATTCGAACCTTCAATAAGAACGGCGCTACATTTTTCGTGAGTTCGTCTTCTAGGGCAGATGTGGGCACAATCTTAAAACACTTGCGGGACGATGCAGAAGGACCGGACAAGCTTGTTGGATGCCGGGTAATGATTGTTGGCATGCCTAATGTGGGCAAGTCGACTCTCATCAATCATCTGCGTAATCAGGGTGTGGGCAAGGCCAAGGCGGTGCGGACCGGTGGCCAGCCAGGTATCACAAGGAAGATCGGGACACCCGTGAAGATCATCGAAAGAGAAGGTGGATCCCATGTCTACGTACTGGACACCCCAGGTGTATTCATGCCATACGTGCCGGATGCAGAGAACATGCTTAAACTAGCTCTGTGTGGCTGTGTGAAGGATTCGGTTATCTCCCCGGTCACGCTAGCCGACTACCTATTATATCATATCAACCTGAATGACGCCGAGGTATATAAGCGATGGTCTGAACCAACAAACGAGATCGTACCTCTATTGAACAACTTCGCCCAACATTCTGGTCTCCTGGCCAAGGGCGGCATTCCAAACACCGACCTGGCAGCACTGCACTTCATTCAGAAGTGGCGTGCCGGCGACCTGGGCAGATTTATGCTTGATGACCTGAAGGAGGAAGAACGCCGGCTGCAAGAAGGCGGAGAGCGAGAGATACCCACCAGTTATACCCAGGCCTTGAAGGCTGAGAAGCTGGGCAGAAAGCAACCCAAGCTGTAAATAGATAAAGAATCATGTAACATAGATATTTATCCCATCCATTGTACAAAAGAACGAATCATGTTGGTATCATCAATGAGCTTTTGCCTCCCCTCAGATGCATAGTAGACTTGTTAGAACCGCAGAACGACGTAGGAGAGAGACAAAAAAAAAGTGTGACGAGAAATCATCGTAAACCCTAAACGCCCATGATAGAGACGAAAAAAAAGAAAAACAAGAAAAAGTGAGAACCCCCGAGTCAGCGCATAGCGCAACAACACGAGAACAAACGCCCCAACAACCGCACAACCTCATGAGATCTTATCCAACAACCTCCTCCTCCGTCGATCAACCAACTCCTCCTGAACCTCATCAAGTGTAGGCAACCTCCACTCCACCCCATCGCCAGCATCACCAGGCAACGGCTCCCACCCATCCTCAACATCTTCATCCTTCCTGCGCAATCTCTCAACAGCCTCCTTCTCCTTCTGCCTCTCATACGCCAAAAGCGTCCCATCCTCCTCATCCAACCCATACCCAAAGTAATTAGCATCGACCTTCTTCGTCGCAATCTCACCACCTCTCCCCTTACCACCTTCTTCATCCTCCTCTTCAGCCGGCCTCCTCCCGCGTCTCGCCGCCGCCTCAAACATCTCCTTCACACCGGGCAACTCTCTCGCTCGTCCAAAATACCGATACCCCTTCCCACCACCCGGTATCTCCCTCCCATCATCATCAAACACCCGTCCGGAACCTCGCATGTAGTTCGGTCCGCCCAGGTTCCGGATCTGCATCTCCCACGTCCACTTCTCCTTCATAAGCTTGTTGATCTCATCGTTCAGATCGCGGATCTGGTAATCGCTTAGACTGAGCTCCTGGATCCGAGAAACTTTGCGTGAGATTTCCTTCAGCACTTGGCCGCGCCATTTCTCGCACATCGGGATCGAGTCAACGGTCGTGATGGCTTTCGGGCGGCGCGTGCGCCCGATGTCGATGATTCCGAGGTCCGCGGCTTGTTGGGCCCGGAAACGGAAGAGCATCGATTGGGCTTTTTCGCTGTTACGCGCCTGGTCATTTTGTTAGTTTGGGGGGGTTCTGGTTGAGCTTGACGTTTGGGTGTGGTTGAAGGCGAAGGGAGAAGGCGAGGAGGAGGATTTTTGGGTATCGAGTTGAACAAGATTCGAGGGAACGGTTTGTTGCTTGATTTGAAGGGGCGATCTGAAGGGGGTTGAGTTGGTGATGAAGGCTTACCATTGTGAAAAGCGGCGCGGGGGATCCCCGTGGCTGATGGAGCTTGGTGGTTGAGAGGATTGAAGTGAAGAATGAGAGACTGGAACGCTGGCTCTCGCGCTCTCTCTTGATCCAAGCTCGGGTGGGTTCGTCCGCCCGTTGACAAGCGAGCGCTAACAGATGCAGCCGCGCGGCTACGGTACCCGTGGTTCTTGGCTGTCAGTCTACCGAGTTTATTGTCTCCCTTGCTGCCAATAATGCAGTGCAATGTTGTTTTGAGTTGTGGTGGCTTACGGCTTACATGGGAAGTTAATTTTGATTTTCTAATATTGTCAGATAGTAGTTGATTAGAAAGACAGGCATATTAAGAATTAAGGGCTGTGTATAGCACGTTTTCCGGTACTAGTGTCTATTGTATATTTATGAACCGCTTCAGCAATGATGAATTCGAGGTATAATTGGTGAACGACCACATAAAACAATAACAGAGACTGGGAATGCCAACGGCTATCCGTTGCATATCGTCAAGATGCATCATGAAGCATTAAAACAGATCATATAGCATAGTACACATCAAAATCATTCAAAAGCATAATCCAAGCGCCGCCTTCCGTCAACACTCCGTAGCCATGCAGGGCTGCCATCAAGTCATAGTCGTAATTGGTCGCTCAGGCCCTAAATGAATGTTTAGCGCCTGAGTGTAGTTAGAGCAATGTGCTCAGCAGGATCAACCTGCTAGGTCGTCATAGTCTTACAAGAAGCCTTTGGTGTTGCTAGGCATCCGCTGCGGTATATCGCCTGCTCCGTACACGCTGCTCCCTCTCCTGCTTCCGGCGTCACTGAAAGCGCCGACGTGGCTACGTCCGAGGACGCTGCCCCTCTCAACACGGAGCGCTCGCCATCCCTCAAGTTCACGCTCCAACCTGAGAGACTTCTCCCGCTCTTCCCGGAGTTCTCGCTCTGCTCGGCGCACTTGCAGCTGCGTCTCCGAGTCGGCATGTTGAAGCTCCTCAATGTTTCGAAGAAGCCGCTCGATCTTGTCGCGGGCTTTGCTAACGTCGTCATTCAGCTGGGAGTTCATCTTATCACGGCGCTCAATCTGGGACTGCAGGTCTTTGACCGTGCGGTCGACGTTCCGCAACGAACGCTGCTCAGAACTGTGCTTGGCTTCCTGGTCTTCAAGATGGGTCTCCAGCTATTTTCAAGATAGTTAGTATTTTCCAGGGCAATAGATTCATCATAACATGGGGTAACTTACTTCCTTGATTCTCTTGTGCAAGAACCGGACGTCCTGGCTTCCTGATGAGTAGCTCTTGGTCTCCAGATCCACGCAACGAAGTTGAGACTCCTTCAGCTGCTTCTCGAGAGCCGCCTTGTCCTTGAAAAGCTGGGCATTTGTTTCTCTCTCAGCAGTAACTTCCTTCTGCATCTCCGTCGCCAGTGCTTCCGCCCGCCTCATCTTACCGACTGCAGCTGCGGAAACATCTTCCTGTTGAGCAAGCTTGGACTTCAGTTCCAACAACTCACGGTCCATGCTGGCAGCATTGCGCATCGATGGACTCTCACCCTTGGCAAGGTCCTCCAACCTTTCGCCTGCTTCAGCTAACCGGGTTTCCAGCATCTTCTTCTCCTTCAGCAGCATGTCACGCTCCGCGGTCACGTCGTCGACGGAGGTGCGAAGAGTTCTCACCTGCGATAGGAGGGAGACAACCCTGCTCTGAGCTTCATTATGAGCATTGACTGCCTCGTCGCGAGATGTCGTCACGTCTTGAAGCATGATGTCCATTCGAGCCTTCTCCTTAGCCCAAGTAGAGCTGTTCAGGACTTCATTGTCCCACTTGCTCCGCAAGTCTTCAAGTTCTTCACGGAGTCGTGAGTTCTCACCGCGAACGTTAAGAACCTTTTCACGCTCCATCTCCAACTCGTTGTTGAGTGTTGTGAACTCGCGCTGATACTTCTGCCTGGTCTGTTCCATTGATGTCTCCTTGTCTTCAATATCAATGGCACGTTGGTTTCTGTAGTCTTCAAGCTCGTTCTGGAGGCGCTGTTTGGCCTGGAGGGCGCCTTGGAGCTCAGCTGCTTGATCCTCCATCCTGGCCTCGAGCGACTGGGTCTGGCGTTGCAAGTCTTCAACCAGGGCATCCATTTGTTTGCGCTCAGACATTATCTGGGCACAGGTATCCTCGGCCTCCTGGGCCTGAGATTTGGCGAATTGCTCTGCTCTGGTAGCCTTCAGAACTGCAATCTCAGCTTGTTCCAATTTGCTGAAATACTCATCGGCACGGGTCTTGTACAAGCTCATACTGGAAGCTAGATCGGCTGACTTCGACGTCTCCGCATCAAGACGAATCTGAAGGTCAGCAAACTCCTGGAGAAGCTGATCTCGGCTAGCAGCATCCTGGTCCCTTGCAACCTGCAGCTCCTGGAACTCGGAACGAGCGTCACGGAGTTCTACTTCCAGCGTAGCCTTAGCTCTCTTAAGCTTTTCGAATTGAGCTTTGGCGTCGCTGAACTCTGCAATGGCTTCGTTATGCACCTTGAGCAAAGACCTTCTGGACTGCTCCTGCGAGTTAATCAGGTCGTACAGTTCTTCATGCGACTTGGCTTGGACGTCCCGTAGTGAAAGATCGCCTGACCGAATGTTCTTCTCCAGAGCAGAAACCTTCTTTGAGGAGTCATCGAGCTGCTCGTGCAGACGTCCGTTCTCACGCTCAAGCAGCTGCATGCGTCGCAGAGAAGGGCTTTCTTCCTGCCACATGTCTCGACCAGGTGTCGCTTGAGAAAGCTGGTTCTGGAGATGCTTGTTCTGCATCTCGCTCATCTGAAGCTTGTTCTGGAGCTCCTCAATCTCGGTCGCCAGATCCATCCGCTTTTGGTAGCCGACCGTATCCACGGTCCTGTCGGAACGAGCAGAGTCATTGGCCGTTTCGTTGAAGTTAAGTCTGCGGTTCGGCGTTGTAGGAGTGCCGAACTTCTTTGCCAGAACATTGTCGGAGTTCTTTCTGAGATGGGTTGGGGTCCGGGGGCTAGCCACCTGGTTCTGGTCGATTTCCTCCAGCAAGGCGCGTTTAGATGAGGCGTAACGTGCATCCAGCTCCTTCATCTCATCCCCATGCCGACGGCGCATTTCCGCCAGTTGGGCCTCAGCTCGACTATACTTCTCCTCGGTGACTTGCAATCTACTCTGTGTCGTCTGCAGCAGTTGTGCCAGATCAACCTTCTTAGCCAGGCTAGGCTGAACCTTCTCCCAGGATTCCGAGTCATCAGACTCGGGCTCCACTACCTTGTGCAGCAACATTAATTGCCGGTGTAGGTCTTCGATCTCCTTGTTTGCCGTATCCAGAGAGCCTTGTAGCTTGCGCGTATTGGCTTGTGCCTGGGTCCGGAGCTGTCTTTCGGTCTCAAGGTTCCTGTTTGCCTCCGCCAACTGAATGTTGGCAGTGGAAGCAGCCTTTTCCGCATTTCGACTGGCCTTGTGTTCCCTAGCAACTTCGTGGTTGAGGTCCTCGAGGCTCAAAGAGAGCTTCTCTTTCTGCTTCTCCAGAGAAGTGATGCTGACTTGAAGGTCGCCAAGCTGACGGCTTATCTTCTTGTTGTCTTCTTCAAGCTTTGTCTTCTCTTTCTGAAGAGCAGTTATCCGTAGGCGCGAGTTGTCGCTGGCCCTGGAAGTCGATCGGGCTATGTCGAGGTTCTTTTGTTGGATCTTTGTGAGAAGAGCTCGGTTATCGTTCTCCGAAGCTGTGAGTCTACCCTTGAGCGTCACTAGTTCTCTCTCCAGGCGTTCCTTGTGCTGATCATGGCGGATGCGGAAATTATCTGATTCAGCGATAGCGTGGGTCAATTCTTGGATTCTGGTGGAAAGACGTGACCTTTCAGCTTCTACCTCCTCTAGCTGACGTGTCTTATCGTCCAAATCCTTCCGCACACTCTCAAGGCGCTCGTTGGCCTGCTTCATGATGTTGCGTTCAATGTCGGCCTCTGCGTTTAATCGTGCATCTTCGACCTTCGTGAAGCGGTCCCGCAGCTGAATCAACTCAGTTTGGAGTTCCTTGCGTGACTGCTCAGCAGCAACGCGGGCTTCAGTGGCACGACGAAGCGTGTCCTGCTGGATGTACATCTCCTTTTCGATGATAATCTTTGATTCATTCAAGGAAGTGTACTTGTCCTTGAGCTCCGCAAGATTATGCTCGGCAAGCATTTGCACATCGTCACGCGATTGACGCTCCCGGCTCAGATCTGCTTGTGCCTTAAATAGTTGATTCTTCAGTTCCTGGATTTGCTGCTCGAGGAGCTTTCGGCTTTCGCCAGCCTCGGCATCCTCAGAGATCTTTGCCTCCAGGAGCTTCTTGACATCGGCCGCCTCTCGCTCCAGCTGAACCTTCTCTGACTTCATCGCGTCCACCTCGGCCTGCAGTTCTCGCAGGCGTTCCTGCATGCTGCCATGTCGCGTGGTAAGAGAAATCTTCTCCGACTCTAGGTATCGCTTCTCCTCTTCATGCTTCTTAGCATCATTTCGCAGGACAGCCATTTCGCTTTCCTTCCGCCTAAGCATCTCTTCATAGCCTGTGGATGTTGAGGAGAGGTCGGTGATCTGCTGTCTTATTACACGGTTTTCTTCAATGAGCTCTTTGATGTGCTTCTTGGACTGATCTAGGTCTCTCGAGGTCTGGGACAGCTTAACTTCAAGATCTTGATCTGTCTTCAACAGTTTGGTCTCTAGATCTTGCAGTTTGCGCTCCTTCAAGCTGAGGTGACTCTGCAGCATCTTCATCTCCTGGCCCAGGTCCTTAATCCTGGCCTCCTTCTCGACAGAAGAGTTTTCGGCATCGGCAAGCTTCTTCTCGAGTTCCTCCAGACGTGCCTGCATCTCATGCTTTTCGTTCTCAAAGCGCTGGATGATCTCTCCTGCTTGTTCCAGTTGAGTTATCCGGAGCTCAAGCTCGTCATCCGTTCTTTTCTTGGCAGCTATTAGGTCGTCTAGTTGGTCTTCGAGGTTCTCCTGGTCTGCGATAGCACCGGCCAAC